CCGTCAGGCACACGTGACCAGTCCTGGTTCCTCCCACAGACTCACCCAAAGGGGAAGGGGAAGGGGAAGGGAGCAAGTCACAACCACCTGAGTCTGGGCAGGGGTGGAGGGGGGCTCGGGCTCGGGGGCAGTGAGAGAGAGAGAGAGTGCATTTTCTCAGCCGGAGCAATCAATCCAGAAGGGCTTCCTAGAGGAGGCGGTATCGGAGCTGGGTCCTGACCAGCCAGGGGATTAGACCCGAGGCAGGGGAGGAAGGCGGCATCTCAGAGGAAGGAACCAGCGTGTGCGGGTGGAGATGGGCCCACAGGGCATGAGAGGAATGGCCTGGAGCAGGGGCGATGGGGGGCCCTGGGCAGCATGGCTGGGGAATCCTAGGGAGCCAGACCCTGCAAGGCCTTGAATGCCACCACGGGCTTCAGGCAGTATTAACAGGCGTGTTCTCAAGCAGGCGTGTGGCAGGGAGCTGTGCAATGACGGTGAGGTGGTTTCCCTTGAGTTCCCTGGCGGGCCTTGCGTTCGGGTCTTTGTGTGCAGGCAGCAGGAAGGGGGCTGAAGGCACCACAGCCTCCTCTCGTCAGAGGACCAAACGGGGCCCAGAACCGGCAGGCAGCCGCCCCAGGGCTGCTCCGTGCAGCGCTGGCCTCAGCCTGGCCTCCAGCCGCGGCTCGCTGTGGCCGCCCAGCGCCGCCCTCCGACTGCCAAGCCCGAGTCTCTCCCGGGGAGACAGACACGAGGCCCTTCTGCATTCTCCCCGCCCTCTCGCCCTCTCGCTCGGTTTTTCTCTTCGCTGTTTTTTCTGAAGGCCTCCGAGGCCGGCCCGAGCGGGTGGGAGAAGAGGTTTTTCCCGGGAGCCGATCGATGCTCCGTGTGCGGGCGGCCCGTGCTGACAGGCCTGACCTTTACCGGGTCCGCTCTGGCTCTCCTCTCAGGCCTCGCTCCGGGGAGAGGGGGGTGGGGAGCCGTGGCCTCCAGGGGCCGGGCGAGGGCTGGGGGCGCTGCAGACAGAGCAGGGAGAGTCTGAGCGCTAGAGCACTCTGAGGTCCGCTATTGAAATCTCTCCCACACGCACCGCGTTCACAGGTGGGAACACGGAGGTGTGATGGGAAGGGACTTGATCAAGGTCACTCAGAGAGCTCCGGCAGAGCCTCAGAGTCCAGGGTGTGTGTGTGTGTGTGTGTGTGTGTGTGTGTGTGTGTGTGTGTGGTGTGTACGCATATCCATATACAGGGTGGGGCAAAAGTAGGTTTACCGTTGTGTGTGGAACAGTTGATTCTTGTATTATTATTTATTAATTCTTGTGCTATTTCCCATCTGAACAACTGTAAACCTACTTTTGCCCTGCCCTGTATACACGAGTATATAGATACATGCGTGTGTGATGCAAATTATTATACTATACATACACATAATGTAGTAACATATATATGCTAGTATATGTGATATATACACAATATTCATATTGGGAAAGCATGGGGCAGGTCTACAAAACCCCTGGGAGGAGCTGGAGAGAGCTCACGGTCCCTTTCTAATCTTTTTGTCCTCCTCCTCCTCCTCCTCTTCCTCCTCCTCCTCTGCAAACAGTTTCTCTCAAAGCCCAGTCCACCCCCTGGAAAGGGGGCCTGGCTGGGAAGTCACTTTGAAAGACTTTCCGTCTGTTCATTACAGCCGGGCAGGGTCTCCGGCAGAGGTGAGGGTCCCCGTCTGCCGACGGGGCTGGCCCCCGGCGTGCTCTGCAAATCCCCGTCATCTGGCAAGTGTCGTGTCGGGTTAATTAAGAGCTACGCTGCGCCGTTTACCTGTCACTTCTGAGAGTTTCAGGAACCTCCGGCTTTCTCACCGTCTCTGAGCGGTTAGTGAAGGGGAGACGGGGAGCACCTCTGATTCCGCGTCCGCAGGGACAGCCACGTCAATGCATCCTCTGTGGCCCCCTATCCGCTTCCGTTCTAACCAGTCCTTTCTGGTTACCTCGCTGGCTTTTTTATATGTTTTTATTGATTTTGGGGAGAGAGGAAGGGAGAGAGAGAGTGGGGGGGAGAGAGAGAGAGAGAGAGAGAGAGAGAGAGAGAGAGAGAGAGGGAGAGAGAGAGAGAGAGAGAGAAACATCAATCATTGCATCCGGCACACGCGTGCGCGCGCACACACACCCACAAAACCTGGGCATGTGGGCACATGCCTGGACTGGGAATTGAAACAATGACCTTTTGGTGCAGGGTCGACGCTCAAGCAACTGAGCCACACCGGCCGGGCACGGCTTGGACAGCTAGCTCATCTCCATTTGGAGCCATTTCTGTCGTCTCCTGCAGGGGAGGCAGCTGTGGGCAGGAGTGGGGATAGAGCACACCTGTGGGTGTGATTCTGGCCATAAGCCTGAGAGGGGACCAACTCTCTGGCCTTGGTCCTATGGAGGCAGCTGAAGACAGGGAGTCAGTCCCCAGTGTCCTGGGGTCCCATCCGGTACCATCTGCCTAGCCCCACCTCCTGCTTTTACTCATGCAGTGCCCCTCCCACCCCACCCCCTTACCCCTACTCAGCGCCCTCTGACCCCAAACCCTTTACCCTCACTCAGTGCTCTCTGACCCCCTATTCCTTTACCCTCACTCAGTGCCCCTCCACCCACCACCCCTTTACTTAGGGCAAAGGTACAACAAGGCTGGCATCTCCTGGCACCTGCACAAGTTGAGCTTATCTCAAACCCTCACTCTCGCCCGGGGAAGAGCCCGTGTCCTGCCAGGCCTTCTAGGATGTTTCCAGGGGAAACGGGAGCACTGGCTGCTCCCCGGGTTCCTGGTGCCTGATGTTCCAGCATCCCTGGGCTCCGGTCTGTGCTGCTTTTGGGGCCCATTCTTTCAGTCCAGCCCCACTGACTCCCAACGCGGCACCTGGCCCTCCCCTCGATTTCATGTGGGGAAAACACTCCTCCCCCCCCCCCCCCGCAGCTGTGCAAAACCTTCTGGGGGAGCAGGTTCTATAAGGTCTGGGCGGCGGGAGGAGGAGGTAAGGGCCCGGGCATCCTCTGAGCTGGGCAGTCATCAGAGGAGGTGCTCATGGTGTGATCTTGGTGCTGCGTCAGCTGCACCTCTAGGCCCATCTCCAGCTCCTGGCAGAGGTGGCCCCGAGCTGGCCCAGCAGGCAGGCGTGACGTGCCAGGTGAAGACGGAGGGCTGGCCCGTGCGTGTGGCTGGGGCCGGGCCCAGCTGCAGCGCTGTCAGGAAGTGCCTCTGATGGGGCAGCTTCGGGGCGCCTGGAGCCTGGAGGAGAGGGCAGTTGTCCCCCTCTCCCGGGGCGGCGGCTCGGTCTCTCTGCTCCCCTGCCCGGCCCCCCAGGAGGAGGAGGGGGAGGCGCCATGGCGCTGATGGATGTGCCGAGGCAGGGCGGCTGCAGCCCCGCACTGTCACCAGGCTCCCCCTCAGCATGCCGGAGCCTGACACCCTGACCACTGAGGCATAAAAAACAGAGAATTGGAAGGCTCAGCCTGTCAGGCTGGGAGTGGCCCCCAGAGAGGTCTGGGGAGGAGTGCACGTGGTGTGTGTGTGTGTGTGTGTGTGTGTGTGTGTGTGTGTGTGTGTGTCTGTGTGTGTCTGTGTGTGTGTGTTGTGCATGTATGTATGTGTGTGTGCATGCACACACACACACACACACACACACACACGCGCGCGCGCGCGCGCGCCTGTGGTTGCCTGTGGAAGTGGGAGGTGGAGAGGAAGCCGCTGGGCTCAGGTGGGGGCACTGGCCCCTCAGGCCTGCCTCATTGTTCTGGCCACTCCTGGCCAAGTCTCACGGGCCCTGCATGTGGGCCTCGGCGGCTGGGGGCAGAGCAGGGCTCCCGTGCTGACATCCGGCTGGTCCTTCTGAGGACTCCTGCCCTTTGGCCCTTTGGCGTTCTTAAAGAAGCATCTGTGGGAGCTTGTTTGGGCCGAGGGTGGTCCCTGGGGCCGTGTAACTCCTGTCACCACTGCCAGGGAAGAGCCCACGTGCTCTGTCACCAGGGGCGTAAGAAGCCTCTCAGCCGCTAGCTTCCCACACGACATGGGCCGGGCACCGGGGGACTCTGCAACACGTCAGGCCCAAACCCTGTCCCCGGGGAGCCCCCAGCGGGCCGCAGGGAGCAGACAGGCGGCAGGTTGTAAGGGGAAGAATTCTGAGCCCCGCTCCTCGTGACGCCTGGCGGCGAGGAGGCTCTCCTGGGACTGGACGCAAGAGCCCGGGAAATGCAGACACAGATGCCTGCTCCGTGGGCTGCGGGGCGAGAGAGAACATTCTCGAGTCCCCCCGTGCCTCCTCACCCTCCCCATGGTGCCCGCCTGCCTGAGCGTGCCCAGAGCAGCAGACAGCTGTCCCCTACTCCATGCCCAGGGGCTCACCTGCTGCCTCTTCCATGCTCCCTAGACTTCGGCGTCTCTCTCCTCGCAGCGAAGTGCCCTCTGCCTTCTCCTGGCCGAAGGCTCCACTTCACATATCACCTTCCCCGTTGGTGGAGGCCGGGGGGCAGCCACCTCTGGGTTCTCAGTCAGGAAGGCCAGACCAGAGTTGAGGTCCCCTTTGCCTTCTCCGTGCAGAGCCACGCAGGACACACGTGGGACGTGGAACTAACTCCACGCTGGCATCCTGGAGCGGCTGAGAACTGGGCTTCGGCACTGCCCGGAGCCCAGTGCCTCTACCGCCCACTTCCAGCTTGGGGTCTCTGTGCTGAGGCCATTCTGTGAGAGAGTCTAGGCCTCAGTCTCCCCACCTGCACAATGGGCCGGTCCCCTCAGGGAGCAGCGGCACAGGGGAGCTTCACGGCACACATGTGAGAGGCTGGCATTCCCTTCCACCGGCAGAAAAGGGGGGAATCCAGATAACGCCAGGGACAGCTGTCCACTTAGTAAGGGTGTGCACTGGGCTTGACTCTGTTGGTGACGAAAGAACCTGCGATTGACGTTAAGAGGCAAATGCCATCGGCATGTTCCGAACTTGTTTTGACATCTGGTTCCTGTCTCTCTCCCTCCCGCCACCCGCAGGGAGCGAGTTTTCCGGGAGCCCCTACAGCCACCCTCAGTATCCCTCCTACAACGACTCCTGGAGGTTCCCCAACCCGGGGCTGCTCGGTGAGTACTGGCGGGGTCACGGCCGCAGGCAGAGGGCGGAAGGCGGTCCCACGCTCAGGTCACCCTGACGCATATCCATTACCGTGTGTGCTGTGGTCCTCTCCCTGTCCCAGTCACTTCGAACAGGAAGAGAGGCCTCCTCTCTCCACAGGGAGGAGCCTTGGGAATTCTAAACACTCAGGACACACGGGTGATGAGAACAGCTCTGGCCTGGTTTTTGAAAGCCAGGCGATGGTGTGTCAGGCTGTCAGTGGCAAACAACAGAATCCAACTTTGGCTGGTTTAAGCAGAACACACATCTACTAAGGCAGTGGTTGGCAAACTCCTTAGTCAACAGAGCCAAATGGCAACAGTACGACGATGGACATTTCTTTGGAGAGCGACATTTTTTAAACTTAAACTTCTTCTAACGCCACTTCTTCAAAATAGACTCGCCCAGGCCGTGGTGTTTTGTGGAAGAGCCACACTCGGGGCCAAAGAGCCGCATGTGGCTCACGATCTGCAGTTTGCCCACCACGGTACTAAGGGGCTCCATGGCACGGGCGTGGTGGGCACAGCCAGGAACAGCGCCCAGCCACGCCACCACGGCTGCTCTAGCGCCAACACCCCTGCTGCTGCCCGTGGGCACCCCAAGCTGCCCGCTCTACGCTGCTGCTGCAGCCAGGGTGCTTGAGAGCTCTGTCCTGCCAACTGCCCGGAGCCCGGTGCCTCTATCACCCACTTCCAGCTTGGGGTCTCTCAGCCCATTTCCCCAGGTTGTTCCTGCCCAGTCGAGGTCATAGGCAAGACAGCCTATCTGACAGGCGTATGATACGCCTGTGCGCTAGCAGCCAGGGAGGCTGGGAGGACGAGTTCTGGCTTCCAACCCAAAGAGGCGGGCCTCATGCTTCGGGCCAAACAGGAAACGTTGAAACAATGCTGGGCAGTTAGAAACATGAGAAACGGTCTCTGTGCTGCCCATGTCCATAACCTGGGGCACCACGGCCAGGTCACCAAGCACGTAGGGCCTCGGGTGTGAGAAAGCTGTCTGCAGGTCACAGGAGGCAGGCTGCTCCCTGCTCTGCTCCATGGACTCACACACCCAGTCTCCCCATGTCCAAGGCTCCTCGTCCCCCAGCCTGACCCGCTTCCTCCGGAAGCCCGGCCCTGCCTGAACAACGCTGTGATCCCAGAGCTCTTTGCTCAGAGCTCAGAGCCCCTCCTGCCCTCTGACCATTGGCCTGAGGTAAGGGGCTGGTAAAGGGCTGCAGGCACCACGGCGCCCTCCAACCTCGTGCCGTCTTCTCTCCCTCCCAGGCTCCCCCTACTATTACAGCGCCGCGGCCCGAGGAGCTGCCCCGCCTGCGGCCGCCACTGCCTACGACCGCCACTGACCCTCGGAGCCAGGCGGACGCCAGCACTTACGACACATATCACTGAGGGCGATGGCCTCCCCGCCCCTCCAGAGACCGCCGGAGGGGCCCCACGGGAGCATCCCCCAGCGCCCTCCCCCCTCACCTGAAACCCTGCCCCCCGTTTCCTGTCAGGGACTCTGGGGTTCCATGGCCCGGCTGCTGGACTTCTGGACACCCGCCCATTTCTGATAGTCGATCGATGAGCTCCTCCCAGCGGTGACGGGGTCTCCCCACATCACCAGACTGTCCCACAGGGAACTGAAGCCCCAGCCCAGCCTGCCAGCCCCCCTGTCTGTCTGACCACCTGCCCGTCGTCAGGCCCCAGGCTGGGGAGGAGAGCTTGCTTTGGGCATCTCAGCAGCACCTGTGTAAATACCTTCTTGCTTGTCTTGTGGGCCCAAAGGCCCAACTGAGCAGACTGCCAGCCGTTATGCATTCAGCACTCCCAGTGCATCACAGACCTGTGTGCAGAGTATCCTCTCTGCCCCGGATACCCCCTCACCCCTTCTCAACCCCCCCTCCCCCCGCACCCCCCCCTCCCTCAGTGGGGAGCTGTCCATGGTACTGAGGTTGCCTGACTCAGGCTCCAGCCTCCTGGTCGTGGCTACTTCTTTAGCGACTGGACTAGGAGTCTCACTAAACTGGTTACACTCCACGCCTCCCGTGCTGAGATTCTCCCCCAAGAGAAATACAAATTTGGGGAGATACCCTGGCTTCCTGCCCCCATCCCCCTGGGCCCAATGCAGTGCCAACACCTCTTTTCCGTATATCAAAGGACTCCAAGAACCGCCGACTGCCGGTCTAAAGTACAGTGTCCCGGGAGCTGATTGCATTGTGGACTTGGGACATGATGGCCGGATGGGACCCAGGAGATCATGGTCCACGGCGGGGCCTGAGGCCCTCCTGACCCGCCAGCCCCAGGAACTGCTGACCGGAAAGGGGATGTGTCTTCTGAGGCATTCCCAGGCTCCGATCTCTACGGACACCCACCACGGACACTGCCCTCGCCCTCCAGGAGCCCGTGAGTGGATTCTGTTCTGCCACGCAGACCGTGGGTAACAAAAAGGACTCTGCCTGCATGGAAGATCACACGCACCTGCAGCATCTCCAGCACGTCCCGAGCAGCTCTCTGGTCCTGGTGGAGCCCAGCATGCCACTGGGAATGGAGGTGCCAGGTGGGGCAGATGCCCGACTTCCTATAGTAGGTTTCTCCCTGTTGATAGGAGGGGCCGTCATGGTCAGGGCCATGGCCAAGGGTTATGGGAGCTCAGAGAAGGACTTGTAGCATTCACTTTGGGCTGGAGTCGTCAGCAAAAGCCAGTTGGGAGGGTGTGGGGGACAGCGGGAGGCCTCCTGAGAGGGACAGGACAGGCAGGGAGGAACTGGTGGTGAACTGGGAATGGTTTTGAGGTGGGGTTGTTGTATCTTTGCCTATGGCCTCGATTCCTTGCATAGCCTCTCTTGCCGACTCAGATCAGCCAGGTGGAAGCTCTGTCCAACTGTGGGCTGAATTATAGCAAGGACAGTGGACTTCGCCATTCCATGTGACCGTGTCCCCCGTGTCTGCATGTCACCAGGTTGGCAGAGAGCTGGGGCAGAGAGAGCCCACACCTGAGGTTATGGGCCCTGGGAAGCCTTGTTTTGGCCATACCTCTGCCTTGCTGTGAGACTTCACACAAGACCCTTCCCCTCTCTGAGCCTCGGTTGCCTTGATACTGCAGGGTCCTCTCACAGCCCCCTCCTTCCTTCTTCTCTCCCAGGGAGTGGGGACAGGCCCTCTGCTGCGGAGAGAGCATGCAGAGGTGGGCACCTGAGCCCGGCTAATATTCAGACCATGTGGGAAATAAGAATACCCAGAGGGGTGGGAATCAGCCTGGAGGGATACCTAGTCCAGCTCCCCTCAGGGTAACGGAGGCCCAGCCTGGGGAAGCCCTGAACATGCAGGGAGAGAGAGCAGACCTTTGGCCACAACCAGGCATCGTTGCCCCCAATACCCCTGCCAGGTAGTGGGACGGACAAGAAACAGGCTCAGCAAAGTGCAGTTGCCAGGCAGTGCCTGGCAAGGGGAGGCTGGGACTCAGCCCCGGACCCCTGGCACATGGTGACCCTCCCAAACCTGGGGAGGGAAGTTGGTGGTGCGGTGAGGGCAGTAGATGTTCTCAGCCCACGGCCCCACATGGAAGTCCCAGCGCTGTTAGAACTTCCCTGGTCTCCCAGGGCGGAGGTGGGGCCCATGAGCTCCCTGCAGGCACACCCACTCCCCTGCCATCTGCTGGCGGAAACAGTCCCTCCTCCATCTACCAGGCAAGGGAGAAGAGGGTGTGTTGGGAAGTGGTGTGGCCAGGAGTCTGCTGCACAGGCCTCTTGCACCCTTCAATCCTGGTCTCAGGCTGTTGGTTGGAGGTCAGCCTTCCCAGTAATGGCTGCCTAAGGCACAACCATCCTTCCTCCCAAAGCCCACCTGGCCCCACAGGCACCCCTCTCCCTACCCTGTTCTCCCTCAGCCCTACCGTGCGCTCCCTCCACGCCTTTCCTCTCTCCCCTGAGGCTCTGCCTTCCCTCTCTTACCTGAAGCTCCGAGGTCCTCAGATGCATTTGTACTTAGGAGGCAGCCACTTGATGACAGGGCTGCCAGGCAGAAGCACAAGAGCACCCGAAGCACACCTGTTCTCACACTCAGAGCGGCCCTCCCCGCTGCGTCCCCACTGCTCTGCGGAGCTGCCCGGGAGCTGGGAGGGGAGGGCTCCCAAGGACACCTCGCTGATGCGGGGAATTCTGAAGGGAATACCCACGGCCGGAGCTCCCACCAGAGCTGGGTGGCAAGAGGCCTGCGTGCTCCCTGGGGGCCTTCAGCTCCACGGTCCAGCTCTGGCTTTCTGAAAAGGGCACAGTGGGCTTTATGAACATTTGTGTGTTTGTTTTTTTTACCTTAGTCTGACTCCACCCTAGAAAATATGATGACCTATCAAACCCAGCATCCCTGTCCCAAGGCGCCTTCGTCGGGGTTGGCCCTTTCATAACCGATGTTCCCATGGTGCTTTGCCATCTTTGACCAACCCCTGGGGCCATCGCAGTGCTCACTTGACAGATGGGAAGTTTAGGATTTGGGGCTCACAGGGCAAGAGAGCAGTGCATTCTTAGATATCCCTGGGCCTCCTCCTCCCCCCTAGCATGGTGCTCCTGTCATGCGAGAGTGTGGCTTAGAGACGCTCTTCAACCCCACGGGGAAAGGAAGAACAGGAAGCCGGAGTCTGGCTGGACCAAGAAGCCTAGGTATTGGTGGTGGTGGTGGTGGTGGTGGTGGTGGTGGTGATGGTGATGGTCCAACTGGATTCTCATTAACGCCAAAACCAACCCAAAAGTCTGCCTAGATTCACACCAACCCTCTGACTCACCCAGACTCCTTTCTCGCTGAACCCCGAGGCCCCCGGGGGACGGATTAGAGCTTGTCCAAGGCCACACCACGAGGCCGGACAGGGCCTGGACATGGGCCCAGCTCTGACTCCCAGGGCTGCCATATCATGAGATGTCCCTTCACTCCTTTCTTTATTCTTTCTGCTGTGGGTCCGACTGCAGGCCTGGCTGCGATAATATTCAGGAGTCACCAAGCAGAGTCTCTGGGGCCATCAGGGTGCCCACAGGCCTGGGAAACACAGATCACAATCCCAAAGGCCCTGAACTCATTGCTTCCCAGACCAGGCAGGCGGAGTAGCCTTGAGACTCCGGAAGGGCACGAGGCAGCATGGATGGTGGGACGTGAGATTAAAAAAAAAATTTTTTTTTTTTTAAATATGCCTTTGAGCCCCTCGTGAACATCCAGCTTGTGACCCCAGCCCAATCTTGGTCTAATGCTTCCTTTCTGCTCCACCTCCTTGCCCTTCATTGTAAATTTGGGGGAGATGGGACCCCCGATTGATGAACTTCAGGTTGCCTACCTCCTGTGCCCTGCCCTCCTTCCTCCCGTCCTGGGCTCTTGCTGATGGTTTGGCTTTGAAAGTCATGAGCTTGCACGTCAGAGGTGGAGCGGTGAGGGCGCTGCTGGCGTGGAGAGTAGATCGGTGCTGCGGGGCCTTTCCCGTGTGCAGGGCACAGCCCCAGCTGTGACCACAGGGCGCTGAGGGGTGAAATCCCTTTATGAGCAGTCACACCTCAGAGTAACTGCCCTGCCTTTGGCAGCCCCTGGCAGCAGCCACCCCTTCCGGATGACATTTCAGCGAGAATTTAGCGCCCAGCCATGGAGGGCAAATCTTAAAAACAAACGGAGCACTCCTGACAAATACAGTGGAGCCTCGGTTCTCGAACTTAATTCATTGCAGAAGGCTGTTGGGGAAGCGATTTGTTAAAAAAACGAATCGTTTTCCCCCATTAGAGATAATGTAAATTGAATTAATCCGTTCCAGACCCCCAAATGGCTCTCTGTGTTAACCAGTTTGTTTACATTTTAGAGGTGTTTGAAAGGTGTGCTAAGCGTTGATTTCGCCACGCCATACTCAGTAGCCAGATCAGACGTGCAAACACCTTTATCATGCTTTGCAGTTATTTCTTTTTAAAGCTCTATCGTTGTTTTCACAACTTTCCTTTTCACTTTGCTGCTTTCACTGCCTTCTTAGAATCCTTGCTGACTTGCTGTACATATTTAGTAACCACAAGCAGCAACAAAAACAAAAAACAAAAAAAACCACAAAAATACTCACAGCACAATTTCCTGAGATGTTAACAACATGAGGTTTAATGGTAAACTGACTCACTCTCGTGCACTCTCTCCTTTGTTTGTTGCCTGAGAGACGTGTGACTGCTCATCCAGGTATCAGCACGAAAGGGTTGTGGGGTTGAGAACTGAAGATTTGTTCAACAACCGAGACATTTTTTTCCCGTGAAAAACTTGGTCGAGAAATGAATTGTTTAAGATGGGAGACATTTGAGAACAGAGGTCTCGTACCTGGAAACAAGCTATGTGTGAGACACAGCTGCCCTGAGGGTAGAATCCAGGCCCATGAACAGGCCAAGCCCAGGCTGCAGGGGGGGGGGGTGTAGGTCCCACCACATTCTGAGCTGGACCAGCTCCTGGGGGCCTGCAGAGAGGCCGGCCCTGCAGTCTTGGGCTTGTCCCCCACCCAGGAGCCTGCCTCTGACAGCTTCCGGGCAGCACACCAGTGCTCCTGGAGAAGTTATTCCCTTAGTTCTTTTGGCCTCAGAGAAGTCCAAGGCCAATGCTTCTCTTGAAAGGTAACAACATACGTGACTGGGAAGCTGGACAGTCAGGCCGTGACTCCTGGGCGGCAGTCTGTCCACCTCCCGGCAGCCCCTTCAGCCCCTTGTCCCCTTCTGTCCCCTTCTGCCCCCGTTCCTCAGGATTCCCTCTTGCATATTCATGGTGGAGCCACAGTGTTGATCTGCACTTCCCCGCTGTCAGCTCAGGCCTCCAGAGCGGTGCCCAGGTGCCAGGGGGCTCGGGTGGGGGTTGGAAACAAGGCCCTTGCCCTCCTGCTCTCCTGACCAGGGGCCTAAGCTTCTCCGACTTGGCTGCTTGCTGGGAGCAGGCACCAGTCTTCCTTTGATCGCTAGCATTTCTCAGTATTGGGGTTCAGTTTCCAGACCTCCCATATTCAAAGGGGGCCTCAGGGTTCTGGAGTTTCAGTCCAGGTGTTCCCAAAGGTCCTGTGTAACCCATCTCAAGATGGGGGTACAAACCACCACCATTCAGTGAGTCTAAGTCTTCTTCCCACATCTTAGAACCCTGCGAGGCTCCAGGAGAAAATTGGGCTGTTTCTCTATTTCCCGAGGGAATCTCCATGAATTCTGAAATGGAGTGGGTCTCAGGTAGTGTGCTTAGCCCTTCCGACTGGAGCAGCTCTGAGCAAGGCCCAGGGAGGGGAGCATGGGGAACAGCAGGGGAGTTTTGTGCCCCTTCCTGAGTCTCAGGTCAGGCTGGAGGGAGACCAAGCCACAGCCTCACACCCCAATCCTAGGCCCACTCCGTTCGCAGCTGTGGACCCTGCCCTACCCCTTCTCTTCCCCCACCCAAATCACGACGCTTGTTCCCACATCCCTCATTGTCTCCAAAGGCACCTTTAAGAACGGGTGATGTGGATGATGGATTTTTGATTTACACATGGTGCATTTCCCTTGGAGCGAAACAGAAAGGGAACCGTTTAATGGCTCCCTTGTTTTCAAGCATGGATACATTTTAATGAAATTATTTTATTGTATTCGAGGAAATGGAGAATTGAACATTCCAACCAAACAATAGCCAATTCATTGCTATGAAACTAAAAAAAAAGAAAGAAAAGAAATAAATCCTGAATCTATTTGAAACTCCCTGCAAAGCTCTGAGCCTCCACATCTGGCCTTCCCCCTCCATATGTGCACACAGGAGCACCTCCCCCCCCCCCACAGCTGTACTTGAAACTCAGAGAAGGCACAGAGTCTCCTCATGCCAGTCCTCACCTGCCGTCCTCGCCGTTGGTTAGAGAAGGCAAACAGACCTGGCAGCAGCCTGTCCTGGGGCTCGGGAAGAGGCAGGCCCATCCCCGGACCCCAAGCTGCCAGCACAGTGTGGGGTGATGGATGCTGAGGGCCCCCCTTCTTGGCCCCAGCTGCTGGGCCTCCGCCATGCTCGGGCTGAGGATGGAGATCTGATTCGGGGCTTTGCCCTGACTCTCACTGGCAGATGCTACCTTGGTTTTTCACTCTCTCGTGGCCTTTGGACATTGAGTTTTTGTAGAAATGCTGACCACATTGCAAATGGAACTCTCTGCCCAGAAGACACATGGATTTTTGCTTTTCCTTCTTTGACAGTTGACTCTGTCTTAGGGACTGACCCTCCAGCATCAAAGAAATACGTATCCACCAAAGTTTGTGATGCCTGCATAGATGCTTACTTGTAAAAAAAAAAATTACAAATAAAAACCAACAACAACGACAAAAAACCACCCACAATTGAATTGCCTTTGAAAGTGGGAGATGTTCTGTCTCCAACAGGTTGGGAAAAAAAAAAAGCTTCTTAAGAAATGTGTATGTTTTGTATTCTTTTTTCTTTTTTTTCTAGTAGAAAATAACTGACTGGAAACATGGTTGTGTTTTTTCCTTAGTGGCGTGTGTTGCTTTTGTGTGTAATAATATTTGAATGTAATTACAGCAGTGCCAATTTGCCAAAGATGTTGGACATATTTTTCTTTTGCTGGGTGGAGGGCAGGGGCTGGGGGTGGGATTTGGTGGGGGAAAAACAGGGGTGGGGTTTTGTTTTCATTTTTTAACTTTTTTTTTTTCTGGTCAAACCTGGAATTTGTGGTTTTATTTTAAGTTAAATGGTTGACTGCAAGACTTTTATTTTAGATTAGTTGGAGAAATTTGCAATAAGATTGGCGTAGATTTTAATATCTGTGTGTCTTCTCATGAGTGACTGTTAACTTGTGAAGAATTGATTTTATGTAACCTTTATGTGAGATAATTATTTGTAAATATTTGCCATAATTTTATTGGTTCCTAAAATAAAAGTAATTTTTTAAGTTCAGAATAAGAATGTGATCTCATTTGTGTTGACCGCCTCATCAGTGGTCTTTGGTAACTTTGGCAAAGCCGCGTGGAGCTGTGGGGTCTTGTATTGGCTCTCCCGGTGAGATTGGGTCAAAGCAAATCTGAACAACTAGAATGGAGGACTGTGGCCTGAGCAGGGGCAGAGCCAGAGTCTTGGCCAAGTGGAGTGATGGTTGCGCTCCCATCCTGGGTTAAACTCCTGGCTCTGATGCTGGCTCTGATGCTTAAGTTCTGTAACCTTAATTTCATTAGCTCTAAAATGGTCGGTGGCATCCACCTCATTCATTTATTCAAAAGCATCTACTCTGTCCCTGGCACTGGAGACACAGACATGAGCAGGGCTAACAAGGACCCTGCTGACAGGAAGCTTACAATCTAGGGGCTTCTGGTGAGGTTCACGTTAACACATCAAATCTGTGCTCAGTAACGGTGTGTGCATGCACACATGCTCTTGATCTTGATCTAGGCTGGGTCTTGAAACTGGGTGCTCCCACAGGGCTCTAGCACGCAAACAGAGCTCAGGAGCGTAGAGACCGTGTCTTTGGGCTCCAAAGCTGCAGGCCATCTCTGACCAGAGCTTGGAGCCCAGCAATTCTCCTGTGGGAAGGACACTGTCCCTGTGCCTTCAGAGCTGAGCATTCTGGCTGCTGGGGAGCCCAGAGGTGGCTTTCCAGCAGGGCCAGGACAGCTGCAGCCCCGAGCCCTGCCCCTGCTGGGTGGTGTCAGCCTGCAAGGGCAGGCAGGGACCGCTGTGCCCCTTGGCACAGTGTGTGCGTCGCAGTAATTGCCAGAGATGGAGTAGGCGAGTGACCGTGTGGGGACCATGGGCTGCAACTCATTCATATTTAATAAAGTTGGCTGCACGGCCTCCATTCATTTCAGCAATGGATGGCGACCAAGGTGAGATTCCTGAGGGAGAGAGAGACATGCCGCTACGGAGCCCTGTTTCCAGTGCTGATGACTGAGAAGCACACATTTCAAAGAGAAGCAGCAGCACTTGGAACTGGTGAGACAGAACAGGTACTTCTACCCCCGAAGTTGCAGCCCTTGTCCCTGGGTCTCCTGGGACAGAGGCCTCATGCCTGCCTTCCTCCGAGATGGGCACCAGTAGCCAGGGCATGTGCAGCTCGCACACGACAGCAGAATAGAGGCCAAGGCCCCCAGTAGAGGGTGGAGATGCCAACCCTGAAGATGTTGAGGCAGTTGCTCCAGCAGCACCTCTGCCCTCAGTGACCATCACGAAGTGGGACAGGATGGGACACCTGAGGTCTGTCGTGGTAGGCTTTCGCTTCAGGCCCATTCATTCCTCACACTGCTGCTGCAGCCAGGTCCGCATGCAAGGTGGTGGGTACAGAGCTGTACCAGGGCGGTGGAAACGGAGAAGGATAAAGGTTCCTAAGAGCCTTGGCTGGGAGTCTCAGCTCCAGCTCTTGCTGGGCAGTGTTTGCTGATGTAAGCCATCCACTACCGGGAGCCTTGGTTCCTTCATCGGTGCCATGGATGAAAACCGCATAGCTTTTACTTAGAGGGTGTTATGAGGAGCAATGCCATGCATTGTGTGAAAGTTTTTGCAAACAACAAATGTGAGTTTTGCCAAGATATTTTTTTCTTCTCTCTGCTGTAAGACAGTAAAAATTTTACATCCAAAAGTTGACTCTGGTCAGAGCCTCCTCTGAGCTAAGCTCAGGGCTAGGTGCTTTAGATCAAATGTTTGTGTTCCCCCAGAATTCCTATATTGAAACTCAATCCCCAGTGTGCTATATCGTTGGGAGGAGCTTAGGTCATGAGGGTGGAGCCCTCACGAGTGGAATTAGTGCCCTCATGAGAGGACTCCAGGGAGTTCCCTCGTACCTTCCACCAAAAGGAACGAGGAAACAGGATCTCACCAAACACTGAGTTTGCAGGTGCCTCGATCTTGGACTTGTCAGCCTCCAGAACTGTGAGGATACATGTCTGTTGTTTAAGCCCCTCAGATTATGGTAGTTTTGTTGTAGCAGCTCAAACAGAAAAGACAGGGCTGGGATACAGAAATGAACCAGCAAGGAGTCTACATCTGGGGCAGTTGAAGTACATATTTTAATTCCAGGCAACACATAACCAGTGCCACCTACTGGTGAGGCAGACAGAGAGGTGTGGGCTCACAGAGGGGATTCCATTCAGCTGGGGGAAGAATGACTCAGGAAGGCTTCCTGAAGAAGTGGCTTTTGAGCTGAGCAATGAAGGATGGCCAGGATGCTATCAGGACATTTTAGAGAAAGGAGGAAGGAAAGGCATCCCAGGCAGAGGGGACAGTGCACACAAAGCACCAGGGATGGGAAACGGTTTGTGTCGGGAGGTGATCAGACATGGTGGCCTTTTCCTTAAGCCTGCCTTCTGAGGCTGTGTGGGTACCACTGGAGCAAAGGTCAGGGCTCACCTGGACTCTGGGTCAAAGGTGAGGGCTGGCCTGGGCTCGAGTCATTTCCTAGCAAATGGGTGTTGCTCAAGGAGGAGGGGGCGGTGGCAAGTGCAAACAGAAGCTAAAGACCCTCCTTGGGGACCCTGAAAGAGGTGGGAGCATATGGATTCCCAGCCCCACAGACCAAGCAGTTTCTGGACCTCCCGGCTAGCTGCATGGGGCTGGGGTAAGGAGACTAGTCTGCCTGCCCCAACACATGCCCGACAGCATCTCTGGGAGAGACTTGAGTTCTGCACCCCTAGCCAGGAGGTGTCCCTCACAGGGACAGGCCCCTCTGCAGGACACACAGCGACTGTGAGTTTGCACCCCTGGAGACATTAGCACCCCAGGTGATATTTGTCTGATCTGCCTGTTCTGGTCTTTCTTCAGTGAACGCGCATTAGATGCAATTGAAAAACCTTTAAAAAATTAACATGGACTTGTCTCAGCTGCAGACGGTGAGGGGAGCCTGCGCAAGCCCCACTTCAGACCTGCTCTGGGGGCACATACCCGAGAGCCCACCTCCATTTGCCAGGGCTGCCATAGCAACCCGCCACAGCACGGGCGGCTTACACAGCAGAAACCTGTTTTCTCAGTTTTAGAAACTGGATGTCGAAGATCAAGGTGCTGGCCAAACTGAATTCTTCTGAGGCCTCTGTGCTTGGCTTGTCCATGGCCACCTTCTCCCGGGTCTTCACATGGACGTCCCTCTGCCCTGGTCTCGTCTCCTCTTCTAAGGACGCCCGCCCTATTGGATTAGGGCCCCCCCTCACGATTGCATTTTAACTTAATTACTTTTCCAACGACTGAAAACAACACGACTCAACCTCACTGAGACGTTTTTTGAAAATAGCCAGTTCTGGCGAGGGTGTGAGGAAGTGGGCACTCTTCTATGTTGCTGGCTGACCACAGGAGGCCACGGCTGCCCAGGTGTCCCCCGGCCAGGGAGCTGGGGCTGCTGCCCGCAGGTCTGCCAGGGGCCTGTGTGTTTTTCCCCACGAGACTGGCTGCCTGCAGTCACAGAATGACACGCACAGCCCAGGTCAAGCGGGAAACACGGTGTCTCCAGCCCAGCCGTGTCACCTGGCAGAGCACGCAAGCAGCAGAGGTTCCCACATTATCCACAAACATGTGTAAATATCTCGACGGCTGGTAATGTAACCAAGAAAATCACTTCCCGTTGTTTCCCTTTCAGTGATATTTTCTGCTTGGCTGGGTTTGCTGAGCGCACGAGAAAGGCCAGCTCATCAGTTCTTGTTGTTAATCAAGAGCGGTAATTGTCCGAGTGCAGAGCCTCCTGACTTCGACTCTGCTGAATAGGATAACAAGTTCCCCAAAATGCTAAGTGGTAGTTTCTCTAAGTGGGCCTTTTTAATAGGGAAGGCCCCTGAAGAGGGATTGAAAGGAGAACCTTTCCGTAAAGTGGAATGAAAACATTGTGCCTACTTTCTAGAGCATGGCAGATAAACGCCTAACAGTCCTAGAAGTTCTTAAAGCATGGACAATGTGGGTGAAGACTAATCTCCTCATTTCCCACGTGGACCTGTGCATCGGTGAAGGCGATGCCAGCCGATGTAACAAGCATTATCTGTAACGTCCATGGGCGAACACAGTAGAAGTCTGTTTTTTCACTCATACGACAGTTAAAAATAGGCATTCCTGTAATTGGGATTTATGACCAAGTTCTAGATATACCCAAGATGCCGAGGACGGTCCTGCCCCCCGACGTGCACAGGAGGAGGGAGCGTTCTGCAGCGCACGGCTGGAGGAGCTTTGGGGACATGAGATCATGTTGATACCTCAAAGAGCGGTGAGCCCTGGGCACATTGATTTCAAATGCGTTAGCTCATTAAATCTTCACACGAGCCCAGTGAGAGAAGTACTTGATTATCATCCTCACGTCTACGGACGAGG